CAGAAGACTTGGGACCTCAGGACTAATTAACAAGCACCCAAATGCCTGTTCAACTTAAAATATTACATTTAATAATCTTGCGTGCATTTTGAATTACTCAACAATAACATTTTCATTGCAGTCCGATACTTTGGCAAACCAAACAGTAAAATCATTACACAACATGCTTAAAATAATAGTCATGAAAATTATGATTTCAGATTTCTTTGGAAGAATAATATTGTTTTGCCATCTTAAAAATGTTTACTTGTTTAGGCTGTTTATTCTAATCTCACCCAGCCTATTGTTTCCAATCATGCTTGCATGAAATTCTCACTTTATACCCTGTCTCTTATACACATCTAGATGTGTATAAGAGACAGTACAACAATTGAATCCTTAGCGCGTCATTGGCTGAATTAGGGATGCAATTTACAAAGATCAATTACAAGATTCAAAAAATATATATATATTTAAAACCCACTTAAAAATTCAATTGAAAATTATTTATTATTATATTGTAAATATTATTTTACAAAAAATCATATATATTGGGATATTTAAATTAGATGATGTAATTAAAAATGTATAAATTCACAAAAACAAAGCACAAACACACATTCACACCCACACACATGAACTAAGATATGAACACAAAAAGGCAGACCTGTTTTGAACGTTGGATCCAAGTCACAGACAAATCGACAAGCAGAGGGCTTGCAGCAGGGGTGCGCCAAGATTTTCCACGACGTGAACGGACTGAGTCCAGGTCCCCTTACGGGGGACCGATTTCCTCTACAAAAAAAGTGGGCGTGGTCGGGCGTCGCCTCAAAATCTCTCGAAAGTGTTTCATGGAGGAATATTAACACTCGAAAAAATATGACAATTTAGTGGTTTTAAAGGCTTATTTAATCGATTTAGGGTTTTGATATGTAAAAAATAAATATGCCTCCTTTTTCCCCCGACGAATTGTGGTTTTTCTCCCCGACGGGGTGGGGGGGTGGCAGCTTTCCCCGACGACGCCCCCCCCCCCACGCTGGCGCCACCCATGGCTTGCAAAGGGCTCTTAATAGGCCTTTCCGAAGGTGTCTAACTTAACAAATGACCAATATAACAGCGCCAGGAAGCACATGTGTTGTCCCACAAACGTACGTGTTTGTGTAGGCCTGCTGTCGTTTTGTGGACCTTAGCAACAATATCCAAGGGGTGGAGCTTACTGGAAAGGTTCATTCTAGGACTCGAAGATCCCCGTGACCTTTCATTGGCCCATTGTTATTAAAGAATAATGATGAAGCTGAGAATCATTTGAAACCTACCACATGCCCCCGTGACCTTATTGGCCCAATGTCATTAAAGAAAATTGATGAAGCTGAAAATCATTTGAAACCTACCACATGGCCCAGGGGTAGAAGTTTGTCGATATCTTTTTTTATTGCCTTCTCAAGTTCCACTGATATTCTTATGTGGTCAGTAATGCTTGAATTGTAGTTCTCAATAATTGTAATCATTTTCAAAATGTTAGTGATATTCCTACCCTGTTAAAAAATGAAGAATATATATTTTTACTAAAGATTACATTAGTATTTATTTTTACCCTTTGCCAAATAATGATTTTAAAAAAAACACCTAAAGCTATAGGCCTAAATGCTTATTTTACTTGGCTCTACGACACCATTATATCAGTCTTAACTAAGACCATTAAGATCATTTATCATAATCATCATCATTGGTAGTAAAATTCTAACTAATTTCACTTCAAATAATTATATTATGAAATGAATATGTGAAACCAATATGATGTAAAATTCATATCACCTCAAAATGGATCCAACTATATTGAGATAAATTAAGTTTAGAAAAGTCGTCCACACTGAGCTCAGGCAAAGAACTAAAGAAAACAAAAAATAGAGTAGATAAGTCAATTTATAAATTGATCACAGGAACACAAGATGAGTGAGGCTGTGGTGGCGTAAGCGGAGGGAGAGGTGGGAAGGCCACCCCTCCCCTACCTCGGGCCCCACCTCCATTGTCGAGTTTCAAATCCCTAAATTGTTGGGAATGTATAGGGCTTCGCCCCCGGAATTTCTTCCCTATGGGTTATGGGCGCGCCTGGGACAACCGCTTAACTGTCCGGCGCCACCAGCATACGATGATGCATCATATTTTTACCTCAGGACCATGAGTCCAAATCCTGCAAACACGTAAGAACACTTCATTCACTAGCAGGTAGATTATTATTCAACTTACTTGTTTGCATGCCATATAGTTCTAGTCCCATTCGTTGCATTTATGATAACACACGATGTCGGTGTTAGACAGTTTTCATGGAAACGACAATTCACGAATTTTACATTGTATTGCTGGAAATCTTTCTCAATAATTCTGTCAAAAAAATTGAAAATTAATATTACTTATAAACAACAATAATAAGCAATTTCAGCCTATTTCATACACTCAGAAGTCTAGAGCAGAGCACGAAGGAGCGATTAGTGCCAAAAATTTGAATGCATTAATAATAAAGTTTATATCAATTTCCCGATTAGTGTATGGAAGACGAATGTACTCATTTGTATCTGTATATATGTTCTTATACTGCAATAAACCTCAGAATTAATTGAGTAAAACGTGCGGGTGCTGGCGTTAGGACACGTAGATTAATCAAGCAAACTTAAGAAGTCAAAAGTCTGGGATTTATATTATTTATATCCGTGATTTATTTTATTAATGGAAACAGGACAATTTTAACTAGACATACATAACTAGATATTAAGTGGAGATCAATATTAATAAGATGTGAATAACATGCCAAAAGATAAATAGATAAAAGCTTGCACAATAAAATAATATTCATGAGAATACTATACTAATGGCATTGCAATCAGTAGTGGATCCAGGAAATAGAGGACGGAAAGTAAACAGCCTCAGCCTCACCATAGCTGGGGTTGAGGTACAATATTTTATGTCTATGGCACTCTTAGATGGCAGGAATGGCACTCACAAACTTAAAGTAATTTGAATGCAATTTCCCCCATATTTTTTTTTCTTTATTTTCAGTTTAGTGGGGACCTGGCTTGCTGGGCCCCTTTAATCCACCTCTGGCAATTCAGTCACTTTGTTTCTTGACATGTATTATAAGAAAGCTACAGAGAAGGGTTAAAGAAATTCCAAGAAGTATGATCATAGAGCAATAGAATAATAAATAAACTTTGGCCCGTGCACGACAGCAGAGCCATATTATAGTAATGCAGTGTTGGGGTGCTGGAGGGGCTGGCGTGATCTACCGTGCATAAGTCATTTTAATTTCGTATATTTCCAGAGCGGTCAGTGGGGTCGATCTATTCTTAATAACCTTAATTTGTTCCTATTTCGCACCGTAAACGCGCCTATGGTGCTCTACCAATATGTGGACATCATTTGGAAGGATAGTTTGCCCAACCTGACAATAACTTTCGAAGACATACATGTAGGTACGAATCAGAACCCACGACCTCCAAGTAACTAATCTGGTATCATAACCACTAGACCAAAGAGCTTTGAGCTTTAGTGGACATTAGTTAGTTTCGGTCATGTAAAATATATCAACTTCGATCTTGATTTATAATGTGTTCTTGTTGTAAATGAAGGAAAGAGATATCTTACTCAGAGAATACATGAGACGCTATAGTTCCGAGATATTCAACTTGTTCCCCAAGCTGAGAAGCTACCACAGATGTATTTCCTGCATTTCCACCACGGGTCAAGAACTGTTTAATTGATCTGTGATAGCAATTTAGTATGTTAATTGTGTTTTGTTTATAGTATTATAATTAACAGCAAAATATAAAAATTAAGAAACAACACGATTTATAATATAGTAAGCAATAATAAGCCTATAATAAATTGTAATAAAAAGTATTAATTCTTAAGACGGGGACAACTGCGATGCCAACAAAAACTTTTAAAAAAACCGGCAATGATGACAACAGCATCTCTGACAGATGAGATGACCAGTGGTGGCGCTAGCGGAGGGGGGGGGGGGGGGGGGGGGCAGGGCCCCTCGGGGAGAAAAGCCACAGTTCGTAGTGGAGAAAAAAAGGTGTATTTTCTACATATTAGTAGACTCTAAAATCGACTAAATAACCCGTTGAAACCCCAAAATTTCCATATTTGTCTGGGCTTTCACCCCCTGGAACACATCGAGAGATTTTGAGCGACGCCCGACCACACCCACTTTTTTTTGTCGGAGGAATCTCCCAACCCTCCGTCAGGGACGTCGGACTCCCTGTCGGGCAAATCCTTGCGCCACCTCTGAAGATGACACGCTTTACAAATCAAACATTCAGATGCTGCACTCGTCTCTCGAGAACAACCTGAAACAGGAGAAAATTTAAAAATCGATGTTGAATACAACAGAATTAAATGATTATAGGCTTGTGATATATTTACCGTGAATCAGTGTCCTCTATTGGGTAATGATCATGAACACTTACGATGTCAAGACAAGCTAATCCAACTAGTAGCACATGTTTATCCGTCATTTCGCTATCCTCTTTTTTTTTTTTTTTTGAGCTTTAATGATGACTGTGAACATTTTAAAAAGAAACGGCATTTATTTACTATATAGAGCTTTGAAAGATAAGTTTGTTGTTGGAAACTCACAAAAATAAAGTAATTGTAATAATATTTATATTATTTGAAGGTTTGCATGGCGAAGTAGGCCTAATAATAATAATAATAATAGTTAAATGCTTGCGGTACACCACGTTATAGTTCTGAAAAGAACTGTTGTTCGTAGAGAATGTCTCAACGATTCGATTGAGTTGCTTCAATCGTCTTCAGCAGAATAATATATCAGGGGTGGCGCCAGCGGGGGCCGCCCCCCCCCCCCCGCGTAGGGGAGAAAAACCACTATTGGTCGGTATATATATATATATATATATATATATATATATATATATATATATATATATATATATATATATATGCAAATGAGTAAACTTACGTGGTTACTTGAATATCGTAGCGATCTTTGGGTAAAACAGAATTCCTGATGATGTTGAACTTCGACAAAGGTGTACGCTGTGGGCTGAAGTCTCAGTTACCGTACACTGTAACATCTGTGAGCACTTAAGCACCATGATGTCACGAATTGACTTCATTCAAATTATAAAAATGATCGCTCCCAGAAAAAAATGAACCAAAAAATAATTTTAAAAAATAACTTTGAAATTAACTTTTTCATTTATAAGTAGAAGTTAGCGAAATAAGGGAAAATGTTTACCTTGAATTCTATACATAATTAAATAATTTTTGACAAAAGTGTTTCTATGATTTTGTCATTTTTTCTCACTGTAAAATTAAAAGTAAAAATTCGATGTATGTTTAAATTGATCATTTCTATGTTACATCAAAATTTAAAATGTATTGTTATCATTCCTCAATGATATTACGGTACATCTTTAAAATGTTGTAATAGAACAGCCCTTTTTTTTTTTATCCCAGAAAGCTATAGTACGTAGGCCTGGATGTGTTTAAGGCCTTCAACCCCATCAGATTGTGAATATTGTTAACACGTGGTTAAAATGAAAACTTTATCTGCTCACTGAACGGTTCACTTTTACACTTTAACCTGCTTTATTAACGCAGTAAATGAGTCCAAACCGAACCCCTTTTTCTCACAAAGTCGATAATTTGAATCCTGGTTTCACTTGACAATGGGGTGATCGGATTATAAAACTCATGGCCGTCGGAACTACAACGACCGCACTGGCTTTGGCCTGCCCACTTTTTCTCAATTATGATATTCTTTTTAAAATAATATACCGATGCATATAAATTACATGAATTTATTTTTAATAGTTTTCGCATCACATTTTCTTCTTAATGTTATATATTTAAAAAATTCCACCAAGTGCTTGTTTTTATTTTGGCTATGTACATTTCATTTATTTTTTTTTGACAATAGGCCTATTTACTTTTAGTAATTAAGATTGGTTTTGAAAATATTTAGATGTAGGCCTATAAATATAAAATAAAAATTAACTATTTATAAAAAGATTGGGGGTTGGAGTCGGGTCTTTCCTTTTTTTCCACTTGGGCTCACTTCCGTTCAGTGTGTATTAGCTTCTATAACGCCACCACCGTATACAGTATGTCATCATCGTCATCGACATCATCGTCATCGTCATCATCATCATCGTTATCACTATCATCACCGTAATAGTTATTATCGTCCGCTCATCATCACCATCAACATAATCAATGGAGGTATATTGCAAAATGATAACAAAATTAAATTTCTTATCAGTACCATAACTAAATTAATTTAGTTAATCATAATTAATTCATATTTTTTCTGGGCACCCAAGTAAACAAACTTTTCCACGGGGACCCCTGTAAAACCATTTCACAAAAAAAAAAAACAAAAAAAAAAACCCATCTAATTGCCGTGTATACCTACATGATATGTCTGCCATCATAAATTAGGAATTAAGAATTACTGTAATTATAATTAAAATGTAATCGGTATAAGGCCCAGCAGAAGCGAACACAGAACTTAATTAAAACACTTTTAAAAATTAAAGTGATAGTACACCTCATCTAAGCGTGGTAAGTTGTTTTTATTAATGCTTCAGGCGCTAGAAATTCACGGTATTCATTAATTTGTAGGCCAATTTTCAAATAGGCCCTATATTGCATAGCATATTACATCCTGTGTATTCATAACACGTTTTATTTAATTGCATTTCACTGTGTAAATATACCGTAGTCACTGTTATTCACTATGTCATTATGTATTCGTGTTTCTTGCACTGTATTTATTAATGGAGGAATAAGCAACTAAATTAATTTAATTATGGTACTGATGTTAAGAAATTAAATTTTCAACAAGTTATCTTTTCGCAATATACCTACATTTATTTATAACTAGGTAGGCATACAAATCGTATTTTGAATTATCCAGATATAACATTTTTAAACTGGGTGCTTTTCTGGACCAACTCTTCAGCATTATGCAATCGCAATAAGCTATTACCGAAAAATGTATAAATAATAATAAGATTTACTTAGTATAAATTTTTTGTTTTGTTGTTTTTGATGTTTTCATATGATGTGATGTGTGCATTTACTTAATATCCAATGTCAGTTTTTGTATCTTACCGTATATTTTAACCACTTTTAAAATTTTATTGTTGTTCTTAATTGATGTTATGTAAAAGATTATCATAATAGTTTTTCTGTGAAGAAGATTTTAATAGGGCCTATATCATTATTAATGAATGAAAGAACGTAGAATTCATTTTTGTGAATACTAACCTAATGTTTTCTTGAGTATACAGAAAGAATAGGATGCCATGTAACATCTTCGTATGGGAGGGACCCTCATGAACATTACACACACACCCCGCACACACAGGCCCTCGCCCCGGCGATCAAGCTATGGGGATTTCGGTCTGCTTTGAACAAAAGCATGCCCCCGATCAAAGTTTTTAGGCCTATCCGTACGGACACTATTACTCTAATATATAATCCTATATTAGTAATCACCCCGAAACCTAGACTCAGAAATACCAGAACGTTATCCGACAGGGTAATATGTTACTTAAATAATAGAAATAAATTGTAAATAATTTCCTTTAATGGCCTTTGATGAGCACAACATTTTTCTGGCCCCGAATTCTAGACTCAGAAATGTGGGATTAGACTAGAAAAAAAATCTTTAAAAAATGAGTTAGGGGGAGTGGAATGTTAGAAGCAATCCACATAGCCAGATATCCTAATTAATCACTTCTGGTCACCCTAAGCCCTATTGACACTTGATTTTACTCCTTGTATACAAATGGCGGCCATTTTGAAAAATGGCCGCCAAATTTATTTAAAATGTGCATAAAATTGAAACTAAATATATAGCTACAGATATGATTTTGGTGTGTAAACTCATAATGTATAGACAGGCAACAAACTAGACATATAAAAACTACTGTCACTCAAGCCAGAATGGAACATAATTAAAAAATAGTTGTTTATTTGTTTAAAATTATCGCAAAATATACTTACTTAAAATGTACATAAAATAAGAACGAGTAGGCCTATATAAGCTATTTTTCTATGTAATCCAGATAGATTTTTTTGCAAAAATAGATTTTATTGACTAATTTTATCATTTTTACTTCGCTGAATTCAAAAAAGTTAGGTGGAATTTTTTTCCCCACGTCATCGGCCGCCATTTTGAATTTCAAGATGGCTGACGCACCACATAAAACATGGTCATGATTGGTGTCAATGGAAAGGGAATTATACACTGATCATTTATTGTCATTACACCTAAACAACATTATACATATTTACAGCGATATAGACCAATAATATATAAAGTCACATGACACAAAAGGTAAAAAAATCAGACTTACCAAAAGTTGTCCTGTTTGGTATCATTTGAAAGCTCTGGCAATGATGAGTTTTCCAGTATATACATATCAGAAACTGTGTAGTTTTTCATATATTGTGCTGTAAATCTAATTATCAAATAGAACAAAATCCAAAAACACTCTTTGGCTGATTTATTAGAAGGGGCCAGTCCAACTACGACCCAACATTTCACTATGAAGTTGGACCAGATATGTACACCTGTGTGCTTTCTGGGGAAATGCTTAGATCCTCCGAGTCCAAATGAACCCAGGATAGGCCAGGGGCCCACTCTTACTTCATGGTGGCCAAGGCAAATACATTATGTTGTGTTTTCCTACTTATTGATGATTCTACATACATGAACAATGGTACCGCATGTTATGTGCTGTATAATATATTTGATTGGCTAATTGATTTGTTATAACATTAATAGGCAGGGTCCTCCCAGTGGTGCAACGACGAGCCGTTGGTCCCGGGCCGAAACAATGTTAGGAGCACCATGCATATCAGTAAAATATTTTTACTCCCGAAGTGACACCAGGGTGGGTAATCCCCCTAGAGATAAGTGTTAAGGATAAAAAGACTTTAAAATATTTTGCACACAAATTTTTAATTTTAATATTTGCGTGCAACATATTATTTAATTTGAATATTTGCGTCCAACATAATATATATTAGGTCTATGCATATGCACGTGCATTTTCTTAGCTTTTCCAATATAAATAAGTATTATCAAACAATGATTTAATCAATCGTTTCAGGGTGGGTCCAGGAAAAATAAAGAAGAAAGAGAGAAGAAAGACCAGAAAGAAGGGAGCATGACGTCACTGTAGGCTTACTCCAAAGCAACATATTTTTTTTTTTAATTTCTGTTGTCTCCATCATTTCTAAACAAAATTCTTTCTCTATATCTGTCCCTTATGGGTGGATATATATATTCGGTGTAAACACCAAGGATAACCCACAAATATCGGAAGAATACTTGTTTCCAGTGAGGTCCTTCTGGTGGTGATTGGGCACTACACCGGCAGTGGCCTAACGATGGGCACGGGGCCCTGTGGCTTTCTGAGACTAGGGGCGCCTTTTTGATCCGGTCAACACTTTATTGTGGGAATTTAAATTTGCTCGTTTTTCTAATATTTGGCATTGTATTCTAGATAGCTTTTATAACAACGAAATAAATTATATATCAGTTGCAGATTTAAGTATTCAAAATAGAGGGAATGTGGGTAGGGAGGGACTTTCACAGACTATGCCACCTCAGCCCCAGCATGGTTGGGGCTAAGGTAAGATCATTTATGAATACAGCACCTCAAAGTGGCCGGAAATGGCACTCATAGATTTAAAATGCGAGTATAAATCTCCATTTTAAAAACAATTGGAAAATTTAAGCGGCCCCAGGCCGACAGGGGCCCCATTAAACCTTCACGGGATATACTATGATATATGTCTTACAGTCGATCTCAGAGAGACATTATGCTGTTATGTATCAACAAAGACCTTTTGGGTAAGGGTGCCCGAGCGAGGACCCTATGGGTTGGGGCACCTTCGGGGCCCTGGTGACGGGGCCCTGCGGACCGCCGCATAAGAGCATAGTCGTTACACCACTGTACATCGGGAAACAATTTCAACAACAACAACAATAATAATAATAATAATAATAATAATAATAATAATAATAATAATAATAATAATAATAATAATAATAATAATGTCATAATAATTTTAATATTGGTTGCCTTTTTTCCCTTTAAACCTGTTTCCTTTTGCTGTTATTGTGATGTGGGTTTATTTGTTGAAAAATGCTTAAATGTTGATTGTTTAGATTTTTCTGCTTGAACCCTTTACTTTTGTAAAATTCAACCCATTTTTAGTGATGAATAAAGAATGATTTGATTTTATTTGAATCGGAGACCTAGAGATCCCCACGTTTTAGCGCACACAGAGGCTACCACCAGTTTAGGCAACTGAGCTAAGCTGCTCTGCTGCCTGGTTATAAATCCATAAGGTACCATTCCAATATTTAATAATAGGCTCTTACAGTAACACTATTAAAATTCATAGAGACGGACAAAAATTTACTTTCGCCATAATTGTACAGTAAGCCACTTCTGGATCACTTTTTCGTCAGGCCATCTAATAGGCTTCAATATATCAATATAAAGACATTTGAGTAACAAAATTCATTGATTGTTTTTAATAAAGTGTCACTTTAATACCAAAAAATATGCTCTGAAACATGATAAGGCCAATCTGAATAAAATGACCCGATCGTCCTTTAAGGTCTAATTGATGATGTTGCAGGCGTTTATCATCCGAATTATTAGTAGGCATTTAATGTATACATTATTTTAATCGATTTCAACATGCTGTGTATAATATTTAATAATAGGCCTACTATGATGGATAACCATGTATTTTATTCTTTATTTACTGACATGTTTAAAGTCGGAGGCGGATTTTAAGGTGGGTAGTTCGTCCGGGGCTCATAATTTTTTGAAAAAATCAAAAGCGGTTGTATAATTAGATTGCTCGGTAGTAGTAGTAAGTAGGGGCCCATCGCCTTTCCGGGACTCATTTGGACAAGGAGGAAATAAACGTTTCCCTAGAAAGCACACAGGCATTACACTGGTCAAACCTCCATAGTGGGCATCCAGGGGCATAGTTTAAAGAACCCCTTCTAATAAATCTGCCACATATTGTGTTTGTGGAATTTTGGTCTATTTGGTTTTTTCGGAAATTATAGAAAATGTTACCGTACGTATTGTTAAGGCGTTGTAGGAGAGTGCTGAGTGTCAGTGTTACTGTAAGTATAAGTAGTGGCCTCTCCAGGGCCATTTGGACTCGGACTTCGCCCAGAAAGCACATGCGTTACTTAAGGCTTCGTAGTAGCCTAATGTGATAGGTAGTAGTAGGAGCACCCCCTCCTCACGAGTTACGCAAATGGGTCCTATTTATTTTAACATAATATGCCATATTTGGACTTTATGGAACAATACATGAAACACTACACCGTTCTGATAATACGTTATTCAGCATGTGAGAGCTTTCCAACGATACTAAACACGACTATATTTGGTGAGTTTATATACTTATTCTTATTTTATACACATTTTAAGCATATTTTGCGGATATTTTAAAACAAATAAACACCTATTTTTGAATATTCCATTCTGGCATGGGGACAGTAGTTTTTATATGTCTGGTCTGTTGCCTGTATAGAAATTATGATTTTAGACACCAACATCATACCTGTAGCTTATTTAGTACCAATTATATGCACATTTTAGATAAATTTGGCGGCCATTTTGAAAAATGGCCGGCATTTGTATACCAGATGAAAAATTAAGTGTCAACAGGGCTTAGGGTGACCAGGACGGATTAATTAGGATATCTGGCTATATTGACTGCTTCTAACATTCCACTCCTAACTTGATTTAAGCCTCTTTTTAATTTTTTTTCCTAGTCTAGATGGTGTTAAGCGGGCGATGACATTACTATGGATCACTTCAGTAAGAGGCTTGGGTGGATATGCTCTCAGTCAGACCACACTTTAAAATCCTGTATCCTTGGATAGTTAGCTGGTCAATTTAACAACTACATATTTTAGCTCCCCAACCGCCACCCCCACCCCACTCCGCTTTTAATTGCCGGACCACTTGCAAAATTACTTCCGACGGCTATGAAACTAGATATTTTAAGCTTTATAAACATCTACATATTTTGACAATCAATGCAAAATTGAGTGATCATTATTCTTCAAAGTTGACAATACCTTTTATATATAAGGCTCAGTAAAAAAGGCTAAAACCTTAGAGTGTGTTTTGGTGTACAAATTGCTCATGCAGCGCTTCACATACTCGGCAACCATATAATAGCCACTATAGCTAACTTCTTGCGCTACTGGCCACACTGTTAGGGGCGCTGTTTAGTAGGGCCGTACCAAGCAAAATATCTGAACACGGGTTGTTTTTTTACTTTTATATATTTATTTTCAGGGTTCCATTGTGAGTATTTTACTGCAATTTTATTGTATTTATAGCCTAGTCAGCCTACTACTAGGGCCTGGTGAATGACAGGCCGACTAGGAAGACAAAGCGGTCTACGACGAGAGGTATGCTAGTCTAGGCTAGAACCTAGGGCCTAGTCTGTACTGTTGGACTGCCTGAGTTGACGGAGGCTTGTCTTATCTCGCACGCCGCTTAGGCCTAGGCCTAGTTAGGGTAGGCCTATTGTAATAGGCGGCCTAGGCCCGTCCATTGGGTGGTTCCATGTAATTGTATAGTTTTTCTTTTGTAATTACCATTTTATTCTTCCAATTCATAACAACTTCCAATCGAATGCCAGTCAATGCGAGTAGATAGCTACTCAGTCAGTGCGCGCGAATGCTAGTACTTTACTTAGGCCTAGTTCGAGCGGACGGTATCCCAGCCAGTTGGAGTGAATGGGTTTAGTGCCAACTATAACAAGGGCAAATTTACCCAAAACATAATTGTTTTAATGTCAAAATGCACTGTGTAACCAAGATTTTGATAGGTTTTTACTACTTTTAATGCTTTCCAGTTAAAACAGCAATAAGTCAAAACGGCAATGATCAAAACGGCAATAAACCAAAATGGCAACACTTGTTTACTGGAATGGCAATGTAGCATGCAATAAACCAAATAGATAAATAGAACTTTGGAATACAGACAAAAACAATTTATGTTATAGAGGTAAAAAATGCGAAAAAAATTAATAATAATAAAAAAAAATAGTAATAGGCCTATTAATAACAATATATTATAACAACATACAAATTTAATAATAAAAGGATTGGAGGAAACGCAGTATACTGTAAAATCAATAAACATTCAAATAAATAAAACTTTAAAATATGAGGCATCTAAAATAATTTGTCATTGATATGTTAAAAAAAAAAACTGTAGTAATATAATAATAATAATTATAATAATACAGTAAGAAAAAAAAAACCAAAAAATGCGATTAAACATTAAAACCGGGAAAAAGAGCCCACGGCAATATTCAATTTGCCTACAGACGATCTGGCCAATTTCAAGGTGATTCAGAAAATTATAAACTGCGGCCCACGCCCAGCGGCACTTGCTCTTGGCATTGATTTTGCTCCTTTGGCATTTTGGTCTATGCCTATAATTGGCACTTGTCATTGCCATTTTGGTCTGTTGCCGTTTTGGTACTTACTGTATCGTTGCCGTTTTGGTTTATTGCCGTTTTGGTTATTGCCATTTTGGTCATTGCCGTTTTGGTCATTGCCGTTTTGGTTTTTTGCTCTTTTGACCTGCTACCCTTTTAATAATTATTCCATGTTTGAATAATACAGTCTTACCTTTTTGACCTGCTACCCTTTTAATAATCATTCCATGATTGAATTACAGTCTTGGCAAATCGGTCTGTCGGACACCCTATTGCCACTAACAAGCACTATATTTTTCAGTGTGTTCAATCTGGTGTTTTGTTGTAAAATAAAGCAAATTATAATTATGATTGTAACTGTAATTAAATGTTTGTACTGTATTGTAATTTTTTTTGTATTTGTAAATATATTTTTAAATCGATGATTAACACGTTGACTGCCAGACCGTTTTTTTAGGTTCTTTCCCGTGTACCAGAACAAGTATACATGTACAGTTCAAACATACTTTTTTGAAATTCTATCTAGTCATATATCATCAAAGTGGCGTGTCTAATAAATTGGCGGGAAAATATTAGAGGATCAGTAAACTTGTCTCCAGCACTGGAACAGCATTTTCTGTTGTCTCTGCCAAGTGCAAATTTTCTCGTTGGCTTTGTTTATTTTATTTATTTAAAACCATGTTTTGAGTGGGCGACCCTTACAGAATAAATCTGATGTTTAGAGGCCCAGGGGCCCACTTAAATACAAATACAAATATATAAAAAGTATATAAAAAATAGCTGATCTATCAATTAATCATAAAATTTAAAACAACAAATATTAAAATTCAAAAATTTTAAATATAAAATAAGAAAAAGAAAGAAAACAGACAATGTACAAACAAACACCCC